TATAAGATTCACCATGTAAAAGTGACTATCCTGCTGCAAAGAGAAGATGGAGATGTCCTGCAAGGACATTGAAAACAGTAGGGCCCATCAGATCCTGTCTTCCAGCTGTTTCTACCAATGCTCCAAGGATACTGCTGAATATACCTCTTGAATATTCCTGTCCATCTTCTAAATTAATGCCACCAAATGAACATAGTAAGCAGAAGAATTGATCAACCAGGTCTTCTTAAACTTCCTAACACTAAAGAGTATGAGGAAAAATAAAATGGTTCTCAATAAAATCAACAGGTTTGAAAATTTGTTATGCAGCTCCTTGAAAAGAGGATATTTACAGAAATGAGTGTAGTACAATGATTAACAAATCCAAAGCTATGGAGCAGCAGGCCTGTAAACTCATCATGTTGAAGAAATAAGGAGAGAAAGAGTTTGTATAACCATGGGGCAGGTAGTCATTCATGGAAGACCACCTTGAAAGTAATCCTTGACTTGAGGCTCAGGAACATGATTAGTCTAAGGAGTAATCTATTGGAATGAAAATGCTGATTTCATTCTTTCTCTGAGCTGCACAGCTTCCAACTGGTCAAAATTTTCCAGAAATCACAGATTATTAAAACCCCTTGTTTATACACATTGGCTTTCTGGGGCAAAAAGAATAATGGAGATGAACGGAGCATAGAACTTGTGGAGCATAGGAAGACTTTCAGCCCAGTTGTCCTCTCTGATGATGGTATACACAGGGTTTGTAAGACACCCAAGGCCAACAAGTGCATCTTGGCCATTGAGAATTCAGTTGGCTTTCTTAAGGATTTGTTGCTTGGATGTTAGGCAAGGGTTTTATTAAGCAAGAGTTAAAGAGGAGCCAAGTGAGAATAGCAGGAAAAGTCACAGGGAAAAAAAACATAAACAATAAACTTATTATAGCTTTCTATCAGGATAATTAGAGGACAACAATTAGCAATGACATTTACCGTAACACATTATTATTGCTTTTCTTGTTTATTTTCAAAGATTGAGCTTCAGCAAATGGAATCATAGGTGACACACTCTTGCTTTGGCTATGATATGTGCATGTTATGTCCCCCTGACTTGTTTTTTAGAGAGAAAAGTTTTTAATATTTATTTTTCAGTTTTTGGTGGAAACATCTTTATTTTTATGTGGTGCTGAGGATCGAACCCAACGCCCCACGCATACCAGGCGAGTGTGTTACCACTTATACCTTTTTATAAGTAGGTATAAGTCAACATCTGAAAACTGAAAAGAAAGAACACCGTAGGTTATGGTGGAGAGGTGGCACAGTGTTAGAGATCCAGATAAAAGATAGGAAACAATTTATCTTTCTGGACCTTTCTAGCAGAAGAGCACCCATAATGGCATTCTAGGTTTCACTGGTGATATTCATCAATGCCCCTTTTCCTGAGTGGCATGTCAGGCCCATTGTCACAACCACTGAGCTCATGAAGTGTAACGGGTATCTATCTACCAAATGAGTGCAGCAATCACAAGTTAGATTTATTTCAAAAAATAAAAGTTGAAAAAAATTCTGATGTGGCAGGAACACAACAGGAGACCAACTACGTTGTTAAACCACAGGTACGACGAAGTGAGTCTATGATTGCAAATACTTCATTCTATGTGCAATTTCTATTAAAATCCAGTTAAGCCATTACAGCCTTCCGGATTTAATAAGCATTTCTCTCTGGTGTTTGTGGTCAGATGCACAAAAGCGTTGACTTCCTTTTCTGCATAGAGGCTATTTTCTGTCATCTTCTCGGATGCTTCAAGTCTCCACTGGAAAAAAGCCAAATATTCAGCATAAATTTATTTCTAGGACAAAGCAGTTACAAAAGGCCTGGACTATTAACACAATAACTGTGATTGCTCTTTTAAAGAAGCAAATTGGGGTTGTTGTAAGCTTTTTTGCTGAGTGACTTCTGCTGAAACCACCAAAAGAACTCATGTACAGTGCCCAGAGGAAATCTTTTTATTATTTATGCACGTCCTCAGATTTAAGCATTCCTTATCTATCCAGGCATTTATAGAGTACCTTTGAATGCATGTCCTTTATTATTGGAAAGAATTGAATACTTCCATCCCTCCCACCACTTTTAGGCAAAAGCAATATCTATTTTAAATGAAAGGGAATGGGAATAAGTGATAAGTTGATTTTTTTTCTGTTAAATTCAACCATAGAGTCTTTACAACAAAATGCAAGTACAACCATGGAGCATTTACAACAAAGTGGAAGTTCATCTTCACATACTTCCTCACATTACCCCTTTTGCCAGATGGGAGCACCATTATCACTTTGGTGTGAGTAGAGACAAATTTGGGAAGCCACAATTTGGGTATGCTTGTTTTCCTCACCCTTGAGATGTTGTTTATTTAGCATAGTTAGTATCTGGTCACCCAAAATAAGTGGATATTTACATCAAGCAATGAGCTCTAGAAATTCCCTGTATTAATAAGTTCAATGATTCCACAGGGCAACTCGTGATCTCTTATTTGACTAGATTTTTCCATGCATGCACTTTCAACTTTCCTACAAATTTATAAAAGTATGGGAGACAAGTTCCCTGTCCTGGATCCCTGTCCTTCGGGCATCAATGACAAGCCTACATACACTGCTTCTTGGGGTTTTTGCCTCCTAGTTTTCCCCAGTAAACCTCAATTTAGATTGTGTAGCTCTAGCTATGTATGCATCTGCATGAAGTCTGTATTTTATCAAACAACTTTCATACTGTTTATGCTCATATATACATATGTGGACATATATACCATTATGGTTTTAAAAATCTGGAATGAATATAACTTATACTCCTACCAACTGTGTATTGAGAGGGGGGTATGTGTGTGTAATGTTGATTTAAGTACATATGTAGAACAACTGTGTAAAATTAGAAATGAAGAAACATAATTTCTCATATGATCAAAAAATAAAGGAGATAAGTATAAATTGAAACAAACTTAGCAGGCAAAAAAGGCCACAAAGGAAGAGAATGT